GATCAGTGATGTACATGAAACAGGTTTCACTGGGTTGTATCAGTGATGAGAATGAAACGTGATGAAGATGAAACAGGATGTAAGTAAAAACATGATGTAGGTGAAACGTGATAGATATAAAACACTGATGTAGATGAAACACATCAGACTGATGGGATCAGTTGTATAGTACAGGGTCAACAACAAATAGTTAGGAAAAGAAAGAAACCCCCCTCCTGAAGCTGTAACAGTTGAATCAGTGATGAGTATGAAATGGTTTCACTGGGTTGTATCAGTGATGAAGATGAAATGCGTTGTAGGTGAAATGCAATATAAGTAAAACATGATATTGGTGAAACATGATGAAGATGAAATGTGATATATATGAAACACAATAGATATGAAACAGTGATGGAGATGAAATGCACTAAATGATGCAGATGATCATTGTAGTACAGGGTCAATCAACAAATAGTAAGAAAAGAAGAATAACCCCTCCTTGAGACTGTAACACTACATGCTACATGAAGTCAGCCTTACCCCTGCTGCTGAAAACCATACACAAGCACAGGTAAGCTACTAGTACAATTGTAAATCACAAATATACACTCCATATTTGGTAGTGGCACCAAGCTGCACAGTGCTTCTGTGACTCAGACCACATCCTTCCTCAATAGGCTGCCTATGTATATCTACACATTCTACATGGCCTATCTGTGCCATGAACTTGTTGGTGACTGCTATGTAAATTTGGGTTTTTCCTGATATGGGGCAGGTAGCAAGGTAGTAGGTACCATCTCTCCAAAGAGAGAGATCCAGTGTATTTGTTTCAAGCAAGGATTTACACAAAAGCACTGACAAAGTGTTAGTTAAAGATGAAAATATTGGTACATCACAGTAGCCTGCTAGGGATTTCCATTTAAATCAGGCGTGGACGATAGTTGACGTGCTACAAATTCGGTTATCACGGGCATTGCTTTCGTTATAAGCAGGATTGCTTTTGTTTCGTCTGTCAATCGCTTCGTCAGCCTCGGCCGATTTGAACGTAGGGGGACAACGGACCTGTCCGAACAATACTACCATGCTTTTTTGACAGCACCGCATCCCGGAAGATGCTGTGATTCGAAGGGACGATAACCAAAGAGTTCTGAAGAACTTTTGGCCTCAATGTATGTATCAAGCCACATTAGAATAATTTTACCTTATAATACCACTTGCGAAGATTGGATTGATCACTTGGTATAAATGGCACATGATGATTACCAACGACTTGAACAACAGCATTCACACATTGCATGATATTCGCCGCTATGTGGCCCACAACTAGATTGAGAAGTAGCATGAGCTTTGACGGCTGACGTACATCGCTGACGCATCAATTCCGTAAGAGCTGCACATCCAGGTCCATGCCCCACCAGCACAACTCGCCGAGCCGCTGACAGTCTACAGTACAACATCAGCATCGGGCAACAATAAGGGCGAAATTTAGCTTACTGAATATAATTGTCCCATAGGTAAACCATCGCATCTCCTGCTGGACTATCCGGATTACGCGTCTAGGTGATATGATGAGCAGGAAATAAGCCGAGGCAGGCAGAGCACGAATCACTTTAGTCTTCGCAAAAGGCTTAGGGTAAACATTGACGTCCAACAAAGCATATCCGGCACCCTTTGCCCAACCAATCAACTCTTTCGAAAAATCGACCTAACCCGGCAAACATCAAAGCCAAGCAAGTTACACGGAAAACGCTGTTACCAAGTACGAGTGCTCCAGGCGAACATTGCAGTGGGTGACTGAGTCCAATTCTACTCTTAGGTTTCCGCTACGAGGGAGGGCGTTAGCAGGCACAACAAATATCATGAAGATAACCCACAATTCATGCACGAAAACTACCAGCGTTTCATTTTCCATAATGTCAGATCTATAAAGTATCAGGGCACGGACAAGTAGCGAGTATATGGATCCTCACGTGCAGGTCACCTGCCCACTGAATCGCTCAATGAGACCTTGCGACATCAGAGGCACTTCCAGCATGCTGTGTGTTCTAAACAAGTAGTCCTGTCTGTGTGCCTTAAGCAATTCTGTTGTCATACACGTAACAGAGTGGCTTCAGATCACCAATCGATATGATTCCAAATAGCAATTTACCAGGTATGGAGAATGAGATTGGCTCCATTTCTGCACATCAGAATAGACATTAGCAACAATCAGCAGATTATGACCAAGAATTAGACCTTCGATCGGCTCACAAGCCTTAGGATCGACGTTCTTCCAATATTTGCTCTGTTCTCTTGCGACATGCCAGATAGTCTCTGTCGCAACTTCCGAGGCGACCATGGGTTCTAATTGAGGAGGGACTTCGCCAAGAATAACTCGGGCCACAGCTAGCGCAGACACAGAGATTGCATCGAGATTGTACCCGCCCTATAGTCAAGAAGCGTCTGAGTACTCGAAGCGTAAAGTAAACATTGTAGAGCGCACTTCAAGGGCGACCACAAGTTTGCCGCTTGCAAGCGAAGAAAGCATATGCGTCATGTGAGCATAACCCGCGGGGGATACATGACATTCCCCCAACGTATCACCCTCCGCAGCATCAAATCCTGCAGAGACTGTCATAGAGCGCACACTGGGTCAACGCTATGCAGCACCAGCAGCAAACTGACGCAAACATACTGATGACAAGCTCTGGAGCAAATTCTAGCGCTATGGGCATAACGACTTTCTGAAAAGCGAGGATGTAGTCCGCATCCCCCATGCCCTTTTCTGGCCACGGGATATTTACGGAACTGCAGAAGGGTCTCAAAGATTGTGAGAATGAATACTGTGGATCACATACTAGCCAAGGCCTGCCCCAGTACCACACGATACCATGCTGCCAAAAGGTCCGTTTGGGTAGTAAAAACCCCCCTCATAGCGATGAAGTGAGACATAGAGTACGGAAGGATCATCGTAGAACGCGCGCTGTGTCCCATTCCCTGGTTTTGAGACACAATCACTTCAATGAAATCACAATTTACACCGCACACTGACCATGATGAACATCCCTAGAGAACAAATCAGTTAACCCTCATAATTAGTGTAGGTATTTGGCACACCAATCTAGAATCATGACCCTCTTGAGAGCCGTTCTCAGCTGCACTACTTTTGTAGCTATTGAGACGTTGTTGAAGAAACAGAAGCCCATATGTTCATCTGGCTCAGCGTGGTGTCCCGGGGGGCGTACAATTGCGAATGATTTCTTAACCTCGCCACGCGCTACCGCAAGAGCCGCTTCTATGACTCCTCCCGCACTGATTTGTGCACAATATGGGGTGCTCTGGTGCACGTAAAGGGAGAGCTCTTCATAGTAGGATGCGGAGTCTACTATGTCTTGCTCGGTCATGCCTAGATCATCCAACAATTATCAACTATACCTTGCTGGAAGACCGAGAGACTGACAGTGTACTGAGAGCACCTTGTCCCAAAGTGCTTCGCTATGTACGAGTAAGGCTTCTTCGCGAAGGACAGGTCTAATTGGAAGGCGCCTCATTCTTGCGAGACATTTTTCTTCCTTGAGGATGTCGAAGATGCGCTTGATGCGCTCTGGTTGTTCTTCGTGATGGCCATGAGAGCGCCTATGCATCATCATTTTTGATGAGTAAACATAACCCACTTCAATGTCAGAAGGAGTAAGCACGGGCGGAAGGGAGGAGGCACGAGCCACCGGCTCTGATCGCGCGGCTGCAGCGGATGTGGAAGCCTGGTCAAAATCGACCTCCTGGGCTACCTGGATGTCGACGTTATCTACATCCATCAGCTGTGCGTCCGAGTTGGCCATGGGGCACCGTTGCACTTCGTACTTGCTTGGGATTGATGTGCAGGCGTGATATTTGCAGCCACTGGTGTTGGATCGGAGTATATGTCACGTTGTAACAGATCCAAGATCGCGACTGTCACGCACGCGACCGACTCCGCGCTGTCGGAAGAGACACTGCGACAGACTGGGAGCCTCTCCGAGTTTACATGTTCGTGTCTAAGAAAAGACATCAATGAATCTCACTCCATTCTCCAGTACGGGTAGTACGCTCAGGCTGTCGGACTGGTCGCACTCAAACTAGTGCCTAAAAGAACACACCGATCCCGCAGTCTCCGGCAGCCGTCTAGAGCCGATCCCATGCGGGCGCCTCCCGTGCGCCCCGTTGAAACGCGACTCTAGGTCTTTTATTCGCGCGTGCACGTCGAGCCTGACCAGACAGGTCTGTCCTTCCCTACCTTCCTCCCATCTCTGTACTGCCTGGGCCACAGGCCCGCCTCTTGCGATGGAGAAAACGTTGCCCATCCATACTCCGCCATCTCCAAGGTCTACCAGAGGTGGCGCCGTCAGGTTTGCTAAGTTTGTCTACCTTGCTGCGTTCCTAGGGACTGCTGCGTATATTTTGTCTGAAGCATACGGATTCTATTACGCGGTCCATAAGACAGCTCCTCCTCACGTAGCCGCTGCCCTCGCACGTTGCCGTTCTCTCAGTTTACCCGCTGGTCCTGCTCCAAATTTCCACCACCGCAAGGAGTCGGATCGTTTCGTCCCTGGCACAAAACCACATCTGCTCAAAAATGCTAGGATCTGGACCGGTGCAGACAATGGCACCGAAGTCATTCACGCCGACGTCCTCCTCGATAAGGGCTTGATTAAGGGCATTGGGCACGTCAGTCGTTCCTCCCTCCAAGCGTACAAAGACGACCTCGTTGTCATCGACGTGAAGGGCGCTTGGGTCACCCCAGGGTGCGTATGTGATCCACTTCATACACGGATGAGCTCCTCACTTGCATTTCTGTTGGTCCATCTTCGTTCGACGCGTATAGTATCGTTGACTTGCACTCGCACATCGGTGACTCGTCCAGTCCTGCCCTAGAAGGCGCGAGTGGAGACGAGAATTCTATCCAGGGCCCGATTCAGCCCTGGCTCAGATCTCTGGATGGACTCAATACCCACGATGAGTCGTATGCACTCTCCATCTCAGGTGGTGTCACGACTGCGCTCGTCTTGCCGGGTTCCGCCAATGCTATCGGTGAACCAGTCCCTGCAAGCCTCTGAATCTCTGACTGATGTCCGCGCATCTATAGGTGGACAAGGGTTCACAATCAAACTCCGCAAAACGTCAGAACGTACTCCGAGTTCCATGCTACTTGAACCACCTTTCCAAATCAACTCTTCTTTCTTGGAAACCGCAGAACGACCCAGATGGCGTCAGATGAAGTGAGTCGTTCTAAGCCGTAAATATTTATTCAAGGCTGATCGTCCTATAGACATGCCTGTGGTATGATGATACACTCTGCGCTAGATTCGTTACTGATACCCATGTCATGGCTGGATTGCAGGAGAGAACCCGAGTAGGTCGTCTGTTTGCCTGATTCTGTAGCAACACTTGACGCTCTGACAGGCCGAGTATACGACTTCACTCGGATGGATACTGTATGGGCATTCCGCGAGGCGTGAGCAACACCTTCTACCTGTTCTACTCATGTCATGTTTAACCTATTGGATATAGGTACAACAAAGCGAGACAAATCAAGGAGTCGCAAGATGCCTATTGTGCTGATGCGCTTGCTGGTAACCATGCTGTTCTGGGCAACACGCCATTCCCGGAAGACCTCCAGTGGGAGGCACTCGTGGATGTTCTCCGAGGAAGAGTCAAGGTGGCTTTCCACCAGCGAGTGGTTTATTAAGTCGTATTCACGATGTGTGCAGGTGCAAGTCCATTGTTACGAGACCGTGGACCTGGACGACATCGTGCGGGTAAGCAGTAAAATCATGAGATCGTTGTGCATGCTGAGAACGGACTGTCTGCTAGTTGACGAACGAGTTCCAATTCCCCATCGCTGCTTTCCATCACGCCCATGAAGCATATTTGGTGCCTGACACACTGAAGAAGGCCTACGGTATACATTCTTCTGGATAATCGTACCAGTGTCTTTGCGTTGCTCATGTACTCTGCACTTCATAACAGATCATCCCCCTGCGGTCGCCATGTTTGCTACGCATGCAAGGTGAGTAGCACCGATTTTATGAACTTCATGAAAGAAGATTGACTTGTTGCTGCCCAGGTACAAGCGCGAGGCCTACCGAGGCTCTGAGTTTGCTCCCAGAATTCTTGCACAGAATGGATTAAGCGTTGTCATGAAGGTTGGTAAGCCATGATCGAATCGGAGGACCTGCCGCTTTAACTTGTATATATAGAGCGATCATCCCGTGCTCGACTCTAGGCATCTCCTGTATGAGGCTCAGCAAGCATATGTGTATGGGCTACCGGAGAACTTGGCTATTGCTGCTGTTACTAGTACATCAGCCGAAATTATGGGCATGGGCCATCGTGTTGGTTATATTAAAGAAGGTGCGTCCCTAAAAAACATCGACAATCCTTTCAGTTACTCATTGTCATACTCAGGCTGGGATGCCGGTGTGTAGTAGTAGTTAACTGGGCTTGATGCGGCGACCGCTGACATATCTGTAGATTTGGTAATCTGGGACAGCCATCCTCTCGCCCTTGGCGCGACACCGAAACAAGTGTTCATTGATGGCATTCCTCAGCTGGAGAACCCATATGTTATTGGCAAGCCCTCGTCGTTCCAACAGAAGCCACGCGTCCCCAACTTCGACAAAGAGGCTGCGGATGCAATTAAATACGAGGGCCTTCCCCCACTGGAGCCTAAGAAGGCTGACTCCGATGTCGTTCTATTCACAAACGTCAAGAACGTGTTCAGGCGTGAAGGAGGTGAAGTTCGTGAGGCTTCTATTGGTCAAGATGAACATGGCGTGGTAGTGGTGGAAAACGGCTCCATCACATGCTCCGGAAAATATGCCGCCTGCATCACTCCGTCGCTCCTCGCGGACGCTCAGGTTATCGACACTCGCGGTGGTTCTGTTGCGCCTGGGTTGGCCACCTTCGGTGCTCCACTTGGCCTAGAAGAAATCGCGGGAGAATCGTCGACCAAAGATGGCAACGTATATGATCCTCTCCTTCAGACCGTTCCGTCTGTTGTTGGTGGAAATGGTGCACTCATTCGTGCCGCGGACGGCCTTCAATTTGGTGGGCGCGATAGTCTGTGAGCACACTACATCCATTTTAGAGATGATTGATGTGAATGTGATTGCCCAGCCTTGCGTATCGCGCAGGTGTGACCAAAGCTATTACCGCTCCAGAGCATAGCGGTTTCTTCGCAGGTCTCAGCACATCATTCTATACCGGCGCTCTCAACAAACTTGAAGAAGGTGCAGTGATTCAGAATGTGAACGCTGTGCACGTCACCGTCAGACACTTTGGCGGCGCGCCGAGTATTAGCACTCAGATTGCGGCCCTCAGAAGACTACTAACCGAGTCAGTCGAGGGTGAAGCCGGAAAGTGGTTCAAGGATGTCAGCGAGGTGAAAAAGCGAGAGTTCTCAGCTATATGTATGATGGCTGCTGACCTAGTGGTGCATTGATAGGGAAAAGTTACTCTGGCAGTCGAAGCAGATAGCGCGGACGTCATCGCTACATTGATAGTTCTGAAAAAAGAAGTGGAGGCAAAGTTCGGCAGCACAGTGAAGATGACCATAACCGGCGCACTCGAGGCACACATTCTTGCTCAAGAGCTGGCCGAGGCCAACGTCGGCATCATCCAAGTCCCCACCCGACCATTCCCTACTACATGGGAACGACTCCGGATGTAAGTCAGGGTATTTGAGGAATCATGGCATAATTCTAAATTGCCCGTGTCTACAATACAGCCTTCCCGGAAACCCTCTAACCGAGCAAAGCTCCCTTGCTGTACTGCTCTCTCACAATGTTACTGTGGGTATTGGTATCGAAGAATCGTGGAGCGCTCGCAACACTCGCTTCGACATCGGCTGGGTATGTACATTCTCTCTCCAAAATAGCTTGTCACAGCTGATAAAATATCAGGCTGCTTTGGAAGCCGGGGGCCTCATCTCGAAAGAGCAAGCAATCGCCCTCGGCTCAACGAACGTCGAGACGCTGCTGGGTGGTGAAGTCGAGGCTGAGGGTCTGCACGACATGGTAGTCACCGAAGGGGGTGACTTGCTGGATCTCGAGAGCAAGGTCATTGCGATCATTTCCCCGAGACGTAGCCTGGTTCACCTGCTATAGGCTTAGCTGATTTGCTGTACTTATTTAAATCAGTCGAACTCGTAAATATTTGCCCTGGCCTCTTTTTTCACATTTGCGATGGGTGAATTGAGGAGCTCGTTCACCGCAGAAAATTTTACTTAGGATAGAGTTGCAGAGTGCAGACGTAAATGAATGAATGAATTTGCAAGTACAAGCATCTATCCAACTCATCTACCGTCTCATACCGATTCTGGAACATATTTTGAGCCCACGCGGAACACATGCCCGAAAAACAAGGCACTCACGTTGCAGGAGGTTGTTCAGCCTCGTCACCCGCGATGCAACGCTCAAATCAAGGGTCTTGTCGCCAAAGTCAACAACGATACCGCCCAACACCGACGGGTTGATCTAGTGCCGACCGTCCGTCACGATCCGCAGATGCGCCCAACACTGCAGCACGTACCTTGTTTTCCACTTTCACCGACTTGGCCTGCTGGGCCGCCTGCGACTGCTTGAGAGACGCCTCTAAGCGCGTCTGCACCTCCTTCGGCAGCGGCGCCGCGGACGTGATGGTCACGGTTAGCTCGCCCTTGTGCTGCGCCACGAGCTCGTTGAAGCCCTCGATGACGCCCTGCGCTTCCCCCAAGCGGCCGTTGTCCGAGAGGACGACGAACAGGTTTTTCGTGACCTCCGACACGGGCTCCTTCTTCGCACCCGTGCCCTCTGCCGCGGCATACAGCGCAGCTAGCCCTGCGTAGCGGTCCTTGACCGAGAGCGTCGGGTTCGACACGAACGTGCTGAGCTCCGGGCTCGCTTTGATAGAGCTGGCGATCGTGTTCAGCTCGCTCTGCACCTTGTTGAGAGCCTGCGGCGACTTTGAGAGGGCGGCGTTAAAGACGGCATTTGAGTATTTGAGGGCAATGGTGCTGGCTGCTCGTCGGCCAATGCCAACGGAGAGCGCTGCTGAGCGGGAGGCAGAGAGCAACATGGTGTGCAAGGACAAAGCGTTGGGAGAGAGCGTTGGAAGGCCTTGCCAGTTGTCGCCCGTCACCGCTGTCCCGACTTCTCACCCGGCCTCGGAATATTCCGGCTTTACGCGGCAATACTACATAACAGACTTATAATAGCATTAGATGGTTTTACACGATTAATGCTACCCGCGATAAAAACCGCCAGTGCAGCTTATTAACCTTTATTGTACACTATTTACGATACAAAAGTCGTTACGAGTCGTCAGTGAGCAAACGATGCATTACGCCAAGGGTGCTAGGGTAATCTAGATGGCAAGGGAATGTGGGCGGTAAGTCAGTATCTGATAGGTATGTCTATGCAGACGTAGCGGCATTGGGATAATGCAGTGAATCCAATGACGCAGTAAAGTAGATGATGCATGCATAACGTGAGCTGTGAGAGAAAATGCAGGATACGATGCGACAGCGAACCGGAGAATACATACTTACAAAACGTCCATGTCGTTATATCTACGATGCATTCTCTTCTGAAAATTGATGCTCCACTATTGGCGCAGGCGCTGACGAAGATGGATGTCGACTATGTCTTTGCGACGGTAGCCGGGACGAGGGCGACGATGGTGAGGGTGTCACGAAAGACCCGCCTGTTGTGGGGGACAACTCCGACGATGATGGTGGCCGTGAATGTTGGAATGACCATCTCCGTGGGAGCGTCTCACCAAGTGTCGACGTCGTAGTCGCACTCGAAAACATGCTTGGCTGTTCGCTGTTGGCACTAACGGGCGTCAAGGCGCCAACGTCTGTGGCCGGCGGAGTAGGGTTTCCAGGGCGGATAAGAAAGAATTGAGATGAACCCGGTGTAGTCCCACTCGAGTCCTGACCCTTCTCAGCGTCCTCCTTTCCGAACATGAAATTGCTGTCTTTGCTTGTCAAGGCTCTGTCACCTTTCCTGCGTCTCTTTCCGCAGCACAGCACGTCTGTGACGAGGCGCCAGAGGCCAAGATTGACAAGAATGTTGAAAAACATCACGAGGACGGCGATCGAGAATATGACCGCAGCGACAATGCCAATGGCCGTGCGCGGGATGGCCATTAAAGCCAAACTTTCCGCAAATGCAATGAAGAGCCCTGAACAAACCACACGCACGATAGCGAGGAAGCCCTGGAGGATATCGGCATGGCGTGTCCGGTAGGGTTTGAGGATAATCAGCGAGACTAGCAGTACAATTTCCACGATGAGACAAAGAATGGATTGGACAAGACCGTGTGCGTGTCCGAATGCTGTAATCATCGATTTGGCAATGACGGCGAGGAGGAGAACGACGATGTAATAGATACGCTCCTGACGGAAAGGTGAGACGAGAGGTGTCAAAGACAATGATGATGGGATGGCCTCGTTTGAACGACGTAGTACACCGCGGAGGACTAGCCACAGCGAAGGGAAAACCAACGCCATGAGAATCACGAGCGTAATCACGGATAATAGGACAGAAAGCCACGAATCTTTGAGCGTCCACTGATAAAAGGCAAAGACGGTGATAGGCAGGATAGTTATGAGCGCAGCCCGAAGGCCCCACGCACGCGCGAATGGCAGATAACCAAACTGCAACCCCGGCAGATAGCCGATATATCTTTTGCCCCAGATCCTACGGCTTGCGTAGAAGTATAAGAGGTATCCCAAACCTAGTATTGCAGATACGATAGCCGCATATATAAGAGCAACCAGAAATATTGTCATAAACGCATCAGCGGTGGCAATGCCAATAGTGTTCACGTATATGGGTATGCCAGCTTGCAAAACGTCTGTTGAATCCGAAGTGACAATAGCGACACCACCATCTGAAACAAGAGTGGACGCGTTCCGGACTGATGTCGCGATGAGACTTTGTGCCCCGGGGTCGACTAAGTCGATCTGTGGTAGACTGGAGAACCTCGACAACACAGAAGTCGAGACCGCAAAGGACGACGCTGAAGGAGAATTGTACGGACTCAGCTTCCGGTTGACATACTGAACAGCGCCACCACTGCTAGCGTCCTGCGAGTTGCCACCGGTCAGGTCGCGCATGTTGTTGATCGAATTCTGCATAGGGGACGTCGGTGATTGCGAGAATAGCCCAAGAACCCATGAGAAGTTGAGTGAGAAGGCAGTGTATGCCGACGGGTAATTGAGACCCAAAAGGCCGGAGACTGCAATAGTCTGAAACAAGTAGAGAAGGTCGAGTAGACGGATGGGCGCCAGGGCAAGTGCATCTCCAACCAGAGATTTCCA